CTCCTCTCTGTGGCACCATGGCTTTTCTCTTCCCCAGTTCACATCTCTTGAACCTCGCATCTGCTACTTTCTCTTCCACCAATTGTGCAGATTGTTTTCTTAGCCCTCAGATTGATTTTCTAGTTGTTCAAAATGATTTGATGTTGCTCTAGCTGTGTTCAAGGGCTGAGGGAAGCCTAGGGTCCCCTTACTGCTCTGCATCTTATCTCCTCCCTTCCACCTCTTCCGTATCCATTCATCAGTCCATGGACGTTTGGGTTCTTTCCATAATTTGGCTATTGTTGATAATGCTGCTATAAACATCGGGGTGCATGTATTTCTTTGAATTAGTATTTTTGTATCCTTTGGGTAAATACCTAGTAGTGCTATTGTTGGATCATGGGGTAGTTCTATTTTTAACTTTGAGGAACCTCCATACTATTTTCCAGAGTGATTGCACTCCCACCAACATTCCCACTAGCAGTGTAAGAGGATTCCACTTTCTCTGCATCCTCGCCAACATCTGTTATTTCTTGTGTTGTTTTAGCCAATTCTGACTGGTGTGACTCTCATTAGTCTTTTGATTTAGAGTTGAAGATAGGCTGGTCTAAAGAGGGAAGTACAGTCCTACATCAAGAAGCAAGAAAAGTATCAAATACACAACCTGACATTAAACCTAAAGGAGCTAGAAAAGGAACAGCAAATAAAGCCTACAGCCAGCAGAAGAATGGAAATAATAAAGATTAGAGCAGAAATAAATGATATAGAAAAAAAACCCCAGTAGAACAGATCAATGAACCTAGGATTTGGTTCTTTGAAGGAATTAATAAAATTGATAAACCCATAGCCAGACTTATCAAAAAGAAAAGAGAAAGGACCCAAATAAATACAATCATGAATAAAAGAGGAGAGATCACAATCAACACTACAGAAATATAAACAATAGAAGATTATGAGCAACTATATGCCGACAAATTAGGCAATCTGGAAGAAATGGATAAATTCCTAGAAATATATAAACTACCAAAACCGAAACAGGAAGAAACAGAAAATTTGAATAGACCCATAACCAGCAAAGACGTTATATCAGTAATCAAAAATCTCCCAACAAACAAAAGTCCAGGGCCATATGGCAGCCCAGGGGAATTCTACCAAACATATAAAGAAGAGTTAATACCTATTCCTCTGAAACTGTTACCCAAAATAGAAATGGAAGGGAAACTTCCACACTTAAAAATTTACCTACTAGAAATTTCCTGAGAAATAACAGCTATTTGTTGACTGCTTTCCATATTCAGATATGGTGCTAAATATGTATTATGAATTATATCTCATTTAATCATCCCAGAAACACTGTGAGATAAGTAATATTTTTATCCCTTTTCTTTAGAGGAGGACACTGTAAGTATTTAAGCATCCAAGGTCTCAGAGCTAGAAGAGGCAAATAAGAATTTGATCTTAAGTGTCTGACTTAATAGTCTGACTTCCTAACTTGATATTGCTAAGAGAACTAAATATGATATATTGTTGAGACAGTCTCAGACCCTCTTCACAGGCTTTGTCCATTATAAGGAACACTATTCTTTGTTATATTTAATAAAAATAATTCATTTCATTTTTATTATGGTAAAGTTCATGAATAAATAAAAACTAAAATATTCATGGAGTAGAGTAGATAAGACAGGCCCTTTAATATATTGTTGGTGAGATGGCTGTGTTTTGGAGAATTTTTTGGCAATATGTATCAAAACTTAAAATTCATTTGCCTCTGGACTTAACAGTTCTACTTTTTAAAAAAAAAATATTTTATTTATTTGCTTGACAGAGAGACAGAGTGCATAAGTAGGCAGAGTGGCTGGCAGAGGGAGAGGGAGAAGCAGGCTCTCACTGAGCAGGGAGCCTGATGTGGGGCTTGATCCCAAGACCCTGGGATCATGACCTGAGCTGAAGGCAACTGCTTAACCGACTGAGCCACCCAGGCACCCCAGCAGTTCTACTTTTAAGAATTTATCCTCCAACTAAGTTTGTTCATGTATGCAAAGATATGTGTCAATCTTTGCAGTACTGTTTCAAATAGGAAAAATTTGGAAATGATCTATGTGTTTAATAGAGGCCTAGTAAAATAAATTATAGTAGATCAATAAGATGTAACTTTATTCAAGTATTAAAAATAATTAAAAGAATGACAACAGCTAATCAAGTCTTTACTAAGCTCGTCTTATTTAATTTTCATAGGTATTGTTATTATTAGCTCCATTTACCAGGGAAAATATAAAGAAGTAAAGTGACTTGTCTGAGATTGTAGGACAGATACTGAAGCAGAACAGCATCAGAACCCACATGGCTAATTACTGTGAATACTTTAATGTTTCCTGGTCATTTATATGCCAATGTGAAAAGAAAATAAATTGATAAGTGAAGAAACAAATTGTAGAAAGTTTTTATAGTATGATAATATTTGTGAAAAGGATCTATACCTATATCTACTGTATGTTCCATTTATAACATAGGAAGTGTCTCTTTTCTTATGACAGAAAATCTTTCTTTATATATTAATATATATGAATATGTGAATATATTTATAAAATACATTAAAACATACATATAAATCTACATATATAAATTTATACATATAAACATAGGAGACCTGATTTGTGATCCAATATGTGATCTATTCTGGAGACTGTTCCCTGTGCATTCAAGAAGAAAGTGTATTCTGTTGCTTTAGGATGGAATACCCTGAATATTTCTGTGACATCCATCTGGTCCAGTGTGTCATTCAAAGCCTTGTTTGCTTATTGATCTTCTGCTTAGATGATCTGTCCATTGAAGTGAGTGGGGTGTTAAAATCCCCGATTATTATTGTATTATTATTGATCTGTTTATTTAATTTTGTTATTAATTGGTTTATATAATTGGCTGTTCCCATGTTAGGGGCAGAAATATTTACAGTTGTTAGATCTTCTTGTTGGACAGACCCTTTAATTGTGATATAGTATCCTTCCTCTCCTTCCTCATCTCTTATTATGGTCTTTGGTTTAAAATCTAATTTGTCTGATATAAGAGTTGCCCAGCTTTCTTTTGATGTCCATTAGCATGATAAATGGTTTTCCACCCCCTCACTTTAAATTTGGAGGTATATTTGGGTCTAAAATGAGTCTCTTCCAGGAAGCATATCGATGGGTTTTGCTTTTTCATCCAGTCTGATACCATGTGTCTTTTGATTGGGGCATTTAGCCCATTTACATTGAGTAATTATTAAAAGATATGAATTTAGTGCCTTTGTATTACCATAAAGTCACTGTTTTTGTATGTTGTCTCTGTTCCTTTCCAGTCTATGTTACTTTTGGGCTCTACCCTTAACTTAAAGGATCCCCTTTAGTATTTCTTGCAGGGCTGATTTAGTGATCACAAATTCTTTTGGTTTCTGTTTGTCCTGGAAGCTTTTTATCTCTCCTATTTTGAATGACATCCTAGCTGGATGAAATAATCTTGGCTGCATATTTTTCTCATTTAGCACCCTGAATTTATCATGCCAGTCCTTTCTGGCCTGCCCAGGCTGTAGATAGGTCTACTGCCAGTCTAATGATTCTACGCTTGCAGGTTAAGGACTTCTTGTCCCAAGCTACTTTCAGGATTTTCTTTGTCTCTGAGATTTGCAAGTTTCACTATTATATGTCGGGGTGTTGACCTATTTTTATTGATTTTGAGGTGGGCTCTCTGTGGCTCCTCGACTTGATTGTCTGTTTCCTTCCCCAGCTTAGGAAAGTTCTCTGTTATAATTTGCTCCAATATACCTTCTGCCCACCCCTCTTTTTCTGGGATCCCAATTGTTCTAATATTGTTTTGCTTTATAGTATCAGTTATCTCTTGAATTCTCCCCTCGTGATCTAGTAGTTGTTTAGCTCTCTTTTTCTCAGCTTCTTTATTCTCCATCATTTGGTCTTCTATACCACTAATTCTCTCTTCTGCCTAATTTATTCTAGCAGTTAGAGCCTCCATTTTTGATTGCATCTCCTTAATAGCCTTTTTGATTTCAGTTGTTTAGATTTTAGTTCTTTTATTTCTCCAGAAAGGGATTCTCTAGTGTCTTTTTAGTATTTTTTTCAACCCCAGCTAGTATCTTTATAATCATTATTCTGGAAATCTTATATCAAACTGATTAGGTCCCTGGCAGTCAGTACTGCCTCTTGTTCTCTTTTTTGAGCTGAGTTTTTCCATCTTGTCATTCTTTCAGAAAGTGGTTGTATGTCTAGTGTGTCTTTTCTATTTGTAGAGTTGCAGGTATTCTTTTCTTAGACCTCTGGTTGAGTTTGCAGGTGTTCAGAATGGTTTGATACCTATCTAGCTGAATTCCTTGGACCAGAAGAAACTAAGGTCTCTCACTCCTCTGCCATCTTGGACTCCTTGAACTGTGAACTTTTAAAAATGAATGAGTACACATTGTTTTTATCTTAAGATGTATTTTCAATGAAAAATCTTAAAAATTTTAGGCATATTTTTCTAACAGTTATGTACTATGATATATAATTTCTGTGACTAAGTTCATGATGTAGGTTATTATATTGACAGTTTAGGATAAATCTGCCTATGTTAAACTTTTATCAGAGAGTTCCTGTCCTGTTCTTTTCTAACACTGACTTGGAAAGTAACTCAATGAAGATTTACCTTATTTTTATAAACAAGATTGTTTCCAACTGAAGTTGTAGTAATGAAACTTTTACAACAAATGAGATTCAGCAAATGCAGAAGTTGACAGCAATTTTACTAGATGTTGCTAGTCAATTGAGCACAGTTCTCTTGCAGGAAAATGTTACCATGCTTCTTAAACTCCAGAGCATTTATTAAAAACAAGTGTCAATTTTAAACTTCATTGTTTATTAAGAGACAGTATTCTAATGTCAACAGACACTATTTTAATATTATGCTTAGTCATGGAATGTACTTGGAATTAGGATGATAAATGCTTAAACTGGTATAGCTGAAACTTAAAGTATATTATTTTGGGTTGTGTTTTTCAGGTGAAGCTCTGAAAGTATCAGCTGAGAGATTTGCAGATGATCCCTGTTATCTCCCCAAAAGGGAGGCTGTGGTTCAAGCTGCCCGTGCCTTGTTGGCTGCAGTTACCAGACTCCTCATCCTTGCAGACATGATAGATGTCATGTGTCTCTTGCAGCACGTGTCAGCTGTAAGTAAAAGATGGCTTGTTTACCTTGGCATTGTTCTCACTTCTAATTCCATTTTCTGAAACTGGCATCAATCCTAGTGCATGCAGCCTCACCCTCATTTCTTTTTCTTTTTTTTTTTTTTAAAGATTTTATTTATTTATTTGAGAGAGAATGAGAGAGAGCACATGAGAGGGGGGAGGGTCAGAGGGAGAAGCAGACTCCCTGCCGAGCAGGGAGCCCGATGCGGGACTCGATCCAGGGACTCCAGGATCATGACCTGAGCCGAAGGCAGTCGCTTAACCAACTGAGCCACCCAGGCGTCCTCACCCTCATTTCTTAATGTCACCCAGTAGAAGATGATTCAGTTGTGCAACTCTTGTCTACTTAAAAGAACAAAGCCAGAAGTTACTTTGTTTATTCAATTGTTTCATTTTTAAAAATTTAAAAATTTTAAATTTTTAAAAAGTTTTTATTTAAATTCCAGTTAACATATGTGTAATATTAGTTTCAGGCATACAATTTAGTGATTCAGCACTTACATACAATACCTGGTACTCATCACAACAAGTGCACTCCTTTTTTTTTTTTTTTTAACAAGTGCACTTCTTAATCCCCATTACCTATTTCAGCCATATTCCCCCCCCCACCCCTCTGTTCTCTTCAGTTTTTGTTCTCTTCAGTTAAGACTCTGTTTCTTGGTTTGCCTCTCTCTCTCTTTCTTCCCCCTTTGTTCATTTGTTTTGTTTCTGAAATTCCATGTATGAGTGAAATCATTTGTCTTTCTTTGACTGACTTATTTCATTTAGCATAATACTCTCTAGTTTCATCCATATTGTTGCACATGCCAAGAGTTCATTTTTCCTTTGGCTGAGTTATATTCTTTTGTATGTATATATATATATACAGACACACCACACCATATATATATATACATACAGACACACCACAACTTCTTTATCCATTCATTAGTTGATGGACATTTGGGCTTTTCCCATTATTTGGTTATTGTTGATAATGCTGCTATAAACATTGGGGTGCATGTATCCCTTCGAATCTGTATTTTTGTATTCTTTGGCTAAGTACCTAATAGTGCAATTGCTGGATCATAGGGTGATTCTATTTTTAACTTTTTGAGGAACTTCCATAATGTTTTCCACAGTGGCTGCACCAGTTTGCATTACCACCAACAGTGCAGGAGTGTTCCCCTTTCTCTGCATTCTTGCCCACACCTGTTGTTTCTTGAGTTGTTGATTTTAGTCATTCCAACAGGTGTGAAGGGATAGCTCATTATAGTTTTGATTTGTATTCCCTGATGATGAGTGATGTTGAGCATCTTTTCATGTGTCTGTTGGCCATCTGCATGTCTTCTTTGGAAAAATGTCTATTCATGTCTTCTGTCCATTTTTTAATTGGATTATTTGTTTTTTGGGTGTTCAGTTTGATAAGTTCTTTATAGATTTTGGATACTCTTTATCAGATATGTCATTTGCAAATATCTTCTTTCATTCTGTAGGTTTCCTTTTAGTTTTTTTGATTGTTTCCTTCATTGTGCAGAAGGTTTTTAACTTGATGAAGTCCCAATAGTTCATTTTTGATTTTGTGCCCTTGCCTCTGGAGACATGTCTCGTAAGAAGTTGCTGTGGCCAAGGGCAAAGAACACTGCCTGTGGCTGTGTTCTCCGCTAGGATTTTGATGGACTCCTGTCTCACATTTAGGTCTTTCATCCATTTTGAGTCTATTTTTGTGTATGCTGTAAGAAAATGGTCCAGTTTCATTCTTCTGGATATGGCTGTCCAATTTTCCCAACACCATTTGTTGAAGAGACTGTCTTTTTTCCATTAGGTATTCTTTCCTGCTTTGTCAAAGATTAGTTGACCATAGAGTTGAGCTACCATATGATCCAGCAATTGTACTACTGGGTATTTACCCCAAAGATACAAATGTAGGGATCCGAAGGGGTAAGTGCACCCCGATGTTTATAACAGCAATGTCCACAATAGCCAAACTATGGAAAGAGCCAAGATGTCAAACGACAGATGAATGGATAAAGAAGAAGTGGTATAGGGGTGCCTGGGTGGCTCAGTCGTTAAGCGTCTGCCTTCAACTCAGGTCATGATCCCAGGGTCCTGGGATCGAGCCCAGCTTTGGGCTCCCTGCTTGGCGGAAAGCCTGCTTCTCCCTCTCCCACTCCCCCTGCTTGTTTTCCCTCTCTCGCTGTGTCTCTCTCTGTCAAATAAATAAATAAAATCTTAAAAAAAAAAAAGAAGTGGTATAGATATACAATGGAATATTATGCAGCCATCAAAAGGAATGAAATTTTGCCATTTGCAATGATGTGGATGGAACTGGAGGGTATTATGCTGAGCGAAATAAGTCAATGAGAGAAAGACATGTATCATATGACCTCACTGATATGAGGAATTCTTAATCTCAGGAAACAAACTGAGGGTTACTGGAGTGGTGGGGTGGGGGAGGGATGGGGTGGCTGGGTGATAGACACTGGGGAGGGTATGTGCTATGGTGAGTGCTGTGAATTGTGTAAGATTGTTGAATCACAGACCTGTACCTCTGAAACAAATAATCCATTATATGTTAAAAAAAAAAAAGAAGAAGAAGAAGATAGCAGGAAGGGAAGAATGAAGGGGGGAAAATCAGAGGGGGAGATGAACCATGAGAGACGATGGACTCTGAGAAACAAACTGAGAGTTCTAGAGGGGAGGTGGGTGGGGGGGTGGGTTAGCCTGGTGATGGGTATTAAAGAGGGCACGTACTGCATAGAGCACTGGGTGTTATACGCAAACAATGAATCATGGAACACTACATCAAAAACTAATGATGTAATGTATGGTGATTAACATAACAATAAAAAAGAAATGAGTTTCTGCTTACATTAAAAAAAAATAAAAAAAATAAAGTTGGTGATAAATATTGAAGCAAAGAAATGTATTTAATTTTGCTTAACCCAGAGTTTCCCCAATTTTTTAACCTTAGGACTCTTTTATAATATGTTAATCCTGGAACTTTCTCAGCCATACTTTGGGAAATAGTGGTTTAGAATATTTCTTTTTCTTTTTTTTAAGTAGGCTCCAAGCTCATTGTGGAGTCCAGTGTGAGGCCTGAACCCACGACCCTGAGATCAAGACCTGAGTTGAGATCAGGAGTCGGATGCTTAACTGACTAAGCCACTCTGGAGCCCCATGGAATATTTCTGTATTTCTAATAATATTTATGGTTATATTAAATTTCTACTTGGATTAAAAAATTATAGAGGAGAAACGTCAGGGCCCTTATAGTCTAATATCCTATGGATGTAGATTAGACTCCTTCCTACAATACAATGTGCAATACACAAGTGTCTAACGGTAATAACAGTCTCAATTCTGTGAGACAGTGAACCTGACTTTGGACAGTTCTAATTGTTAGAGACGTTTTTCTCAAACTGAGCTTAAAGCTGCCTTCCTGCTATTTCCATTCACTGCTTCTAGTTTTGCTTTCTTGAGCAACATAGAACCAAGGTAGTAGGAAAAGGCATTTTTCAAATAAGTGATGATTATTCTTAGGACTTATTTATGATTTGTCTCTTTTACCTATGCTAAAAATTTCTTGACCCTTGAGCCCTTATATGACAGTTTCAGACTATTCTGAATACTTCAAAATTTCCATATCTTGTATGAGTTTCAGTTTCCTGCTGAGGTTTTTCCAGCTTTGATATTGAAGTACTTGAACATGGTAAGCATGTTTAAAATTTGAAAAGTTTAGTGTCTGGACTTGCTAGTTTTTTTCCTCAGAGTATCTTGTGTTCTAATGTGAGTGGCTATCTTTGTGTGCTAAACATTACCTTTTCTGGAACTCATCTCAAGAAATTCCTTCCTGTTTTGTTAGCTCTTAGATGTTTTTAAGATAAAGTATTTTATATTTCATCAATCTTAGTTTTCTTCAGCAGGAGGATTAGACTGAATTACTGATTTGTCAATATAAGAAATAGAAGTCCCTAAAATCATCTCAGTAAATCCTTTTCTGTTCATATTCTAGATTATAGGTAATTCCCATAAAATATTGAAATCAAAATATCTTGAAATAAAAAAATCTCTGATGTGACATTCTATAATATACTGAATTACCTCTTTGATTTAATATCTAACATTATCTTACCTTATTTTGATAGCCTTGTCATGCTGTTTGTTCATACTGATTTTGTGAGCAGTTAAAATCTCCAAATCTCTGAACTCAACCTACTCAATTCAGGTCTTCCTCTGATACTAGTTTTATCTTTTTATATGTAAAGGTAGATGTTAGATTTCTATTCATTGAATTTAATTCTGTTAATTCTGGTTTTTGTTATAGTCCATTCAGATCTTTTTGACTTTTGATTTTGTCTTTACCTCCTAACCTGGTATCATTTTCAGATTTTTAAAAAACAGATTATTTATGAAAAATTTAGTAGCATGGAAAACAGTGATAGATCTTCCTTTCAAATAACATCAGACATTAACACATTTTGAATAAAGTTGTTAAAATGAGCTTCAAACTCGCTTTATTAGGCTACTGTATAAACCATGTTTCTTTATTTTATCATTAAGCACTTTCTTAAAGGTCTTGCTGAAATCAAGATGTAGATTTATCAGGCTAGTAACCCCAGCTATAAAGGAAATGAGGTTAGATTGGCACAACTTACTTTTAATAACCCCATACGAGTTCCAAGTGTGACCATTCCTTGCTTGCTTTCATTCCTTTTCTTTTTATGTTTTTTTACGTTCATTTTTAAATTACTCATAATCCACTTACTTATGGCTGTAAATCACTTGTCTGCTGGGATCTCCTTGCCCTTAAGATACAGATATAATTGGCTTGAACCCTAATTCTATGTCCTATCAACTATAATGTTCTCCCCAAGATTTCTGCAAATTCTCTGGGGTTCATATTCTCAGGGTCATCTCTGGTTCCAAGCTTTTACTTCCACTGAAATCCTTTAGTTTACGAATGGTCTTCCTATCTCTATTTTATAGTATCTTAATCTATA